TAGCAGCTTCCTAGGCGGCTACCATGAGTGCCTCAGCCCAGGTGGCTCTAAAGCAACAAAAGTTACTGCCCCGCGGCTCTGGGCCAGCGGCTTTAGACGAAGGTGTTGGCCAGGCCGCGGAGCTGGGGGGGGGGCATGGCCCGTCTCCTGGGGCCGCCGGGGTCCCTGGCCACCCTGGGGCACTCCGGCGTCACTCCCGTGTCTGCCCGTGTTGACGGTGCGGCTGTGTCAGGTTTTCCGTCTTCTCCTGAGGACCCTCCCAGCCCCAGCAGGACCCCGCCCCAACTTGAGCTCAGCTGCAAAGACACCGAGTTTCCGGCATGCTCACACTGCCAGGCTCTGGGGGGGCGTGAGTCTGGGGGTGCGTGGCTCAGTCGTCAGCATCTGCGCCGCCCTCCCTTCCCTCCCCTGCAGACGCGGAGCTTGCCCCCCGACCCCCCGACACACGCACGCAGCGCTTCACTCAAGTTTCTCTCGGCTTTCCCGCCTTGGCTGCCAGCTTGCTTGGGGGCGCCACCGCCCTGTCCCTGCTGTCCTGGCTTGCCGGGCACCCGTGTGCGGGGCAGGCTGGCCAGGAGCCTTCCCCTCCCACCCCGGCCGGTCTGCAGTGGGGCCGTGAAGTCCAACCTCATCCCGCCAGGAGCATTTCTCGTGGCTGCTCCTGCGAGGACCAGGCTCCCAGGGCCTGGGCGGACGCGCCACCTCTCTGAGCCACCTGTGCCCTAGCGGCTCGTCTTCCTCTTATACTCTGTGAACTAAAATACAATTTTAAGGCTCACCCGCCCCACACACTGGCTGACCGAATGGATCCCCTTGTGGCCAAAGGAATATCCTAAATCTAAGTTGCCTGCCAGGAGGAAGGAGATGAGACAAGCCTCATCATGCCCGACTCCCTCTTCTGGGGCATCCTTTGTAACCCTTTAACAGGCCTAAGGTTATGCAAGACAAACCTGCAGGTCCTCAGTTTACACAACAAACCTATGTCCAGTGGCTTGTCTCTGATAAACAGCTCCTTATGTTAAAACATTCTAAGCCTTTAGAAAAAGCATCAGGTCTTTAACCACTTACGAGCCAAAGGATCTTTAAACCCACCTACAACCTGTAAGCCCCCCCTTTGAGATCTCCCGCCTTTTTGGGCCAAACCAATGTAAGCCTCCCACGTATTGATCCATGACTTTCCCTGTAACCCCTGCCTCCCTGAAATGTCTAAAACCGAACTGTGACCTACCACAACCAGTCCACCTGCTCAAGGCTTCCTGGGCGTGGCTCTGGGTCGTGGTCCTCAAATTTGGCTCAGAGTAAATAAATCTCTTTAAAATTATTTTCTGTTGACAACTCTGTTACTTCCCACTGCGAGACGTTTTCTCACGTAGGGCGCTCTATCCAGGGGCCGTGTCCTGGCGGCCCACCTCTGCCTCCCCCAGGAAGCCTTCCCTGATGCGCACGGCTGGACGATGTTAAGGAAGAATTTTTTTTCTTCTC